CAGGATGGTTTCTGGGCTCCTGGGAGAGGTGTTTGTGTGGCAGCTGGATCCCAGCGGGCTGGCGAAAGGGAAAAAGGACCGAAGAGCACGAGAGTGCCTGCAGGTGTCTGAGGGAGTGGGAAGGGTGGCTTGCGCCCCGGGAGGGCCTGTGCTTGCAGCGGCAGCGCTGGCCGCCGCTTGGCTTGAGGCGCCGCGCGGAAAACACAAGCGGAATCCCGAAAGAAACGGGCTGTGCATGCGGGGCCGGCTCGTGCGAGGGGCTTCCAGGGCAGAGCGCGGCTCCCGGAGGGAAAAGAGCAGCTTTTCCAACCGTGCTGGAAGGCAGCACCGCTGCATGGGTTGCACTGAGCCTTTGAAGGTCTCCACATTCCTTTGTGCTTTGCCCGCTTTGCTTTCTGAAGGTGATCCTGGTAACAGAGGATGAGGGAGTCACACTCTTAAACACCACAAGGGATTTGACCTTGGAAAGACACATCCCGGTGCAGAGAATCAGACGCTGCAGGCAGATTTACCTCCTGACCCTGTCGCTCTCTGCCTTTGCTCCGATGCCTTAAATTTGTCGTCTCCCTGTCGTGGCTCGTGCTAAGCTGGGGGGCATGAGCTAGGTAGAGTGATAGGGCTGGTTGGACAATAACTCCGGCACCTCCTCGGCTCCTTTGCCACTTGGAAAACGCAAAACTTTATCTAAAAAAGGCTTAGGCTCTTAGATATGAGTCAGAGAGTGACTCCTTTCACAGAGTTTCCTGTTTGTTCAATGGGAAAAATAGCAGCTAAAGCTGCAAAAGCTTTCAGAGAGATGAAAAAAAAAAATGTGTGGGAAAATATGTCTGCCCAGTCTTGAACTCCTCACCAGCTCCCAGGATTTGGCTCCACAGGGCTCAGTGTTGGAGCAGAAGATGCCACAGTTTGGTAGCACTGGCTGGAAAAGAGAGCCTGGGAACGTGCTGCCGTCCAGCCCGTGCCGGAGGTGCCTCGGAAGCAGGTGGGAATTGTATACCGGCAGAGGAAACGCGGAGCAGGGCAGCGGTTCTCCGGGAAATGTCGCCCCGGTCACGGCCTCGGACGTGGCGTTTGGCTGAGCCCTTTGGGGAGGCAGCTCTCAAGCCACCACTTTTATTTTTGCTCCGGGCAAAAGAGCAGATTTCACTTTAGCTGCTTCCTTCCACCTTTGCAGAGTTAAACTGAGGCATCGGCCTCGGATGCGGCAGGGAGCATCGCTCCTCCCAGCGAGAAACCTCACCAGGCTGGGATGGCCGCGGGAAGCCAGCTCTCTAATGCCTTTCCGTGTTTTTTCCCCCTTGTCTTCATTTTAAATTTAAAATATTTTTGGCTCTGCTAATCCCTCTGGATAAGAGCTTGGCTGAGCAGGATGCTGACTACCAAATATGGTGCTGATCCTAAAGATGTGAGAGGAATGCACGTTGCTCAGGGCCCACGGCCTCGGCGCTCGCTGCCAAGCAAATTAGGTCATTGAAACTTTGGAAGTTTGCAAAGATGTTGGAAATGGGATCCAGGAGAAACAATGCGGGGTTATTTTTGGGAGGCGGCGCAGGGGGCTCACGCTGGAGGAGGTGACAGGCCGAGAAGAGGTGCGAGGATCTGTTTTCCGCGCGTGCTGGCGTCGAGGAAGCTGCCGCCTCCCGTGCGCGCTGCTGCGCGGCGAAACTTGTGTCCGGGCTCGGAGGGAGCATCGCTCCTTTGAAAAGCAATTCCCTGCGGAATTTCCTCAGTCCCTGAGGTTCCCTCCTTGCTCCTCCCTCCTCCAGAGCACCCCTTGCTCCGAGCGCAGCGCGTGCCGGGAGCGCCGCCCGAGCCCCTTGACGTAGACGGCTGCGCCCGAGCAGGGGCGTTTCGTAGCCGGCGCGTGCGGAGCTCCCTCTCCGCGGTGAAATATGTTTCCATCCCCGCTGCGGAATCAGAGAGCGGCCTGGGAGCCAGATGACGGTTCCCTGTGTGACAGAGGGATAAAATCAGGAAAGCAAAGTCCTTATTAGTGAATGTTTAGCAGGAAAAATAAACTACGGACCGAGCTACAGGCCTAGGTTTCGGTGTGAGTCATGGGAGCGGATTTTCCTGCTGGAATTGGGGGGTGAAGGTGGCGCGAGAGCCTGTATGTGCGGGAGGACCAATGAGGCCTGTGGGAAACACGCCTGTGGAACCAGGCCGCTGTGGGGGCTGTGGGTGCCTGGAGCCCCTGCCCACATGCAAGGGGCTATTTGGGTTTTGTCCCGCTGACTGTCCGCGTTTCCTTCTTTCCTTCCACCAAGGGCATCCGCTTCGACCCCGAGATTCCCCAGACGCTCCGCCTGGAGTTTGCCAAGGCGAACACCAAGATGGCCAAGAGCAAACTGGTGGGCACGCCGAACCCCAGCACGCCTCTGCCCAACGCCGTACCTCAGTTCATCACCAGGGAGCCGTGTGAGTACCGGGCTTTGGATCTTACCGTCCTCCTTCTCCTTGACAAAGTCACTTGTTGTGGCAATTCCGGGCGTGCAGAAACCCCAGGCGAACACACGGACCCACCAACGCTGCTGGGACGAAGATGGGGGCACTGGAGGGAGCTGAGGTACCTTCAGGAGGTTGAATCTGTCCACGCTCATCCTGAACGAGGCCGCCACGCGCTCGCTCCGTGAGCGGGGCCGGGCAGGAAAGCCAGGGCAGTCATTACCCTCCCCGTGGCACCAGGGAGGCCGTGGTCCGGTCTGGCTCCCTGGTTCAGGAAGGCGATGGGGACACGGGAGAGGGTCTGGTGGGACTACTGGGGTGGTTGGGGCCGGGGCCACCTGGCTTGCAACAAGAGGGGAGCCGGCCAGCCTAGCCTGGTGACGTGTGGGGTGTTTAAAGCTTGGGGGTGTCTAACCACACATAGAGTGACCCGAGACCAAACTCTTGTTGGCTACAGCGGGTGATACTGCAGGGGTGGCTGGGGAAGTTTGGCTCGAGTATTAGGAAAAACTTGTGGAAAAAAGAAGGCAGAAAAGAAAAAAACTTATAGCCTTAGATAAACGTTAGGTAGACGAGACCATGGCTGCCCTGGTGTCGTGTTGGCAGCAGTCCTGCTGGAGGCAGGAGGCTGGACCAGAGGGCTCTGGACGCCTCTTCCTGCTGTGCTCCTGCAGCTGTGGTGGACTTGTTTTGGGCTTCTCCTCATGGCCGGTGGCCACCAGAGGACCCTGAATGTCTCCAAAGCTGGAGCATGCCGCTTGCCTGGGAGACTGACGTGGGAGATGGGATATGCTGGGTGGGGTGCGGGTGTGCAGCTGGAGTCCCTCCCATCTCCAAAGCTGGAGAGGACCTGCCCGCAGGTCATGGTCAGCCCAAACAGGAGAAATATTGAGTCCTGCCCGGAAATCCTCCGCTCT